AAAAAAAAAAAAAAGCCACACAGAGCAGCAGGTACACCATTGCCTCGACGTTCTCCATTGTTGTGTCGCATACAAATGACATCACATCAACGATGGTCGTTCACAGTGGATGTGGATTCAATTCTGGTTTATTTATATAGTGCCAAATCACAGCAGTTGCCTCGAGGCACTTTGCATTGTAAGGTAAAGGTCCTAAAATAATGCAGAGAAAGCAATCAGATGACACCCTAGGAGTGAGAAACAGCAAGAAGGAAAAAAAACTCCCTTTTAACCGAAGAAACCTTCGCAAGAACAAATGACCTCCTTTACTTCTCTCTCAAACCATCTTGTCTTCTTAGTCCAAATTGTGAGCACTGGCATCCTCAAAAGAGTGCCCTTTATTCTTTAAGTGTACAGCCTTCAAACCTAAAGAAGTCCATCTACCTTATTTTCTTCAGTCTCTCTAGACTACCATGACCTGGATGACTGCAAACCCACACAGACACACAGAAATAAAAGAAACAGAAATACCTGTTGTGAGCCAGTGTGGGCATGGGATTGATTTGGTGATGTGGACTGTATTCGGCTCTACTCTGTCCATGTTCCACCTTTGCTGTAACAGCACGTACTTTCCTCCACTTTGCCCTCCGGTTCTGAAACCAGACCTGGGACCCAGAAACATTCAGGGGGAAACAAATAAAAGACTGAGGAGGCCAACAAAATGTAGAAACTGCTTTACAGAGGATGAGATGGGATTTTCAGGAACACAAAGAAAAAAATGCCAGTAGCACATCTTCATAAGGAAAACATCACAAGTCTTCAGTAAAATTTCACAGAAGATGAACAGAGTAAGAGTCTAACCATAATTCTCTGAGGTGTGACGCCGACTGAAGCAGCAATCACTTTCCTTTTTTCCGCATCCGGATAGTGATCCTCTTGGAAAAGGGCCTCTAGATGCTCTAACTGATCTGTACGCAAGAGTACGTTAGTGTACACACACACACACACACAAATTACAGGGCAATAATTTGCACAGCAGTCAAATGTGAGCACACACAGAGACGTTTCCCCTCACCTGTGCTGTAGAGCGTCCGTGTTTTCTTCTTCGGTGCAGGTGGCAGCAGGCAGCTGTCCACAGACTCTATCCCTGGCAGCAGTGGGAAGCCGAGGGCTCGACCTCGGCCCCTGGTGCTGTAGCGGATGGAGCGTCGGGTGGAGTATACCTGCGTTATCTCCATCTGCCATGAAGAAACACTACCTCAGCACAGATGTTTTCAGTCAAATTCTGTAAAATGTCCCAATGTTTTTTTCCCCTTTAAAACAAGGATTTTAAATAGTCAGGTATCAATTATCACATTTTAAAAGCTTTTAAGGGGGGGGCTTTGAGTGCAGTGCAGAGTTGAGTGTTTCAGCCCACACAAAGCAATGCAGCAATCATTTCCCAAAAATAAAAGTTCATTTAGGACTTCCAGGACCAAGTAATTAATTTCCATTGTTCTTTCCCATATGTGATATTAACACGTCTGTTCCAGGGCTGCAGCCAGCAGGTAATGATTTTTCTCATTTTCTGTTAATTGCTTGGTTCATTAAATCTAGTGAATATAAAAATGCCCACCGCAGTTATCCAGGACCTGATGTAATGTCTTCAAACTGCTTACTTTTTCTGATGACAGACAATAACCAAACATATCAAAACTGCCCAGAGACAAGAACAAGTAAAGTAGTCTTAAAGATTGATCAGTTATGAAAATAAACAGTTCTTCTCCTGCCAAACTGGTAACTGGCTGTTCCAGCTCTACCAAACTCACATTTCAGTTGTCAGTCTCTGTAAAAATTTGTCTTCAGGTTAGCGTAGTTCAAAAACAAACAATCATTTCTGATTTGATCTGGTCTGAAACCTCTTGCTGTTGTAGAACCCGTGACATTATCTGAGATCTACGTCTGAGTGGTAAACATTAAAGTACCGATTACTAGCACAGTGCATGCTGTGGGTCCAAGAGTGTCATCCTAGCAAATAACAGTAAAGAACAACTAATTTACTGTTATCACCTTACATAGCTGTAAGTGAGATGAGATCTTTCTCCACACGCTGAATGAGCTTGTTAATGGCTTCAAAGAATCTGTCACCTACGGATATCACACTACATTACACACTGAGCCAAACATTCAAATCCAGGATGCCATTTTCACAGCTGCATCATTAATAATTCAGAGGACTGTAGGTGTGCATATTTCATACACATTAGACTGTAATTACACACTGAATGAGCCATTATTAGAAACCTGTTGAGATTTACTAGAAAATGCAAAACTGTTGGGTTAAAGGTTAAACTTCATGATCAGCAGCCAAGTATAATGTGTTTATTTTTGTCTTTTCACACACTGTAACCCTGAAATTCTCTCGACACAAATGTCCAAATCATTCAGATAAACTGTCTTTGCGCTGCTTAATACAGAATCATTTCCACCTGAACCCATATGAGGATGCTACGTGTAATTATCGAGAGTATTCACAACAAGCGAGTGGGCGTCATGTATCCTGCATCCTCCATGTTTTACTCAGACAGCATCTGGCAAGTTTGTTGGGAGAAATTTCTCCAAGCAGAACACCCCAGTGCACTTCAGACACAGCAACACCCTCGCAAAAAACTACCACATCAAAATACTCTGACACATGCTAAAGAACGCATAGTTCACCATGCAATGCAGAGAGGAGTGCTCGGACCTTTACATAGGAGAGCAGAGATCTTCGATCAAGGATACAGACAGAGGCCATCTATAGGCACTGTGAACAACCACCACTGAGTGGAGGTAGTGACGCTAACTATCAGCCACCTATAATGCAGTCCTGAAATCCTCTTCCCAACCCCCACAGCTTGACCCATGTGACCTTAATAGCTCACAACAATATGGCAGGGCAATGTCTCACAGAGGAGTCACATCTTGACTCATATGACCCTTAAAGACTGACTATGCTTCAGCAAGAAATCTATGCTGTAGCTATTAGTGTGTACCTGAATAAATAGAATAAGTGTTTTTAAACTGTACTGCCACTGTTGTGTATTTTTGACTCGCTAAATAAGCTATACACAGAGCACTGGTCAGGTTCCATCCATGAATGTGTTTTTATCGCTAATAACCAAAACAAATCCAGTTTTTCCTCACTGTTTCTGGAACGCACCAACTTCCAACGTGTCTGCAAATGTTTATATAAATATAAACATATACATATAGGTCTTAACCTCAAACCCCTCTGAAAACCTATGGGGAAACCTCTTGTGCATCACCCTAGCAATGTGACTACATGTTAGCTCAACGTAGCCCGCGATAGTTGTGATTGGCCATTTCAGCACCATCGATTGCAGTTTTGTGCTTCTTTTTTTCTTCCCCACCTTTTTCACTGCAGTTTTAAAATTCATCAGTGAAAGTAACGATCATCTCTTCAATATAAGGAACGTAGTATCAATATAAGTACTCACAAATGTCAGCAAATTTCTGGAGGGAGACTGTGTAAACTATTGGAATGGATGTAAGGGAATGTATAAACAAGTGAAAAATCTTGAGGGGCAGATTTCAATCCCTAGTCCCAAAATTTTATTTTTTTTCTATTGGCTGGCACTACATATAAAAGACCAGGACATTAGCACATTGTAATTAACACAATGCACCATAAATGCCAGCAATGACATTGACCATTTACATAGGTTACATTGCAGGCACTACAAAGATTCCCAGCAGAAGTCTAAATCGAACAGAACAGGCTTGTCCACATCTTTTAGAACCACATTTAAAGTGACAACCCCATCAGAGGTTAAATACCTGGGCCTTAAGACATTTAAGAAGTAAAGAAGCTTCTTGGGTGAGTGGAGACACACCTTTATAAACCCCAAAAAAATGTAAGTCCAGTTACCTTCAGTTCAAGTAATTAGGGCTATTTTGACGTGGGTAGGCGAGAACCTTTCAAGGACACTCAGAGAGCATCCTTGACAAAACCCAGCAAAATATTAGTGGTGAGAATGCATCCAAAGTTCTTACATGTGAAAATGAACCACTCGAGGGAATGTACTGACATTATTTCCTAACATTGTTGGGGTTCATGTGTGAAACTGGCTTAAGTTTGAGAAAGATCTTAAATCTGTGTGTCTGAAATACAGCAGCATACAAACAGAGTTTGGTGTGAATGTGTCACTCAGGTTCAGCGTGCAATGAATCTTGAGCACTCAAGAAGAAATGAAAGGGAAAATACATTTCAAGTAGTTCACAAATCATCAGGTATGAGCACATGAATGGTCTCCTCTCACCTCAAGTGGTTGTGGGCCCTGCTGGGGGACACTGTGAGGCAGAAGGGGGCTATGAGGTCTTTTGTTACTCTGTGGCTGAGGACATGTGGGCTGGATGGAGACAGGAGGCTGCGAGGAGTACAGCAAGGGGATGGGAACTGGGGGACAACACAGCCCTGTCCCCCCAAACCCCAAGTAGAGTGGGTCAGAGAGGTCACAGCTGTTCGTCAGAGCCGAGGTCTCCTCTGAGCTCATCGCTGGCACCTCCTGTGTCGCACTTTTCTTCTCCTCCTCAGACCTCTCACCAACATCCTTTACTCCTCTCTTACTTCTCACCTGCTCACTTTGCTTCCTCCCTCGCTTCTTCTTACTCTTCTTCTGCTCATCTTTTTGTGCCAAGCGCTTTGTCACTGTACTCTCTTGTTCATCAGCAATTGTTTCCTTGGCCTTCTCAATCTTGTCGTCTTCCATCTGCACCTCCTGTGCCGCCCCCGCTTTCAGCCCACTCTCAGGCTTCACCTGCTCCTCCTCTTCTTCCTCTGTCACAACTTTCTCTTCTTTTCCCCCCTCCCCATCCTTCTCTTCTCGCCATGTCTCCTCTACTGCCTCTTCATCCTCCCACTGACTAAACACTTCCTCCTCCATTTCCCTCCTCTTCCTCCTCCTCCTCCTTCTCCTCCTGCTCATGTTCCCTCGGTTGCTGTTTTTTGACAAATCCTCCAGTTCCTCACACAGAAGGCTTGGACAGTCTGCAACACAGTAAAGCAAGAATTTGTTTTTTAACTTAAAAACTTAGACTAAAAATCACTCATCTGGTTTTACTTCAGCACCCTACCTTCTAGTAATATAGTACTCTGGACATTAATGAGTTCATAATTATCATCAACATATTACATCTTGACTTCTACAAGAATACAATAATAACAGAAATACATTTTTGGATCAGGCCAGTCTGAAAAATGATTACAAGCTCAAGAACTTCAAAGCCAGAAATCATTTTGTGGCAGTTAGGAGAAGTCTTTGATCTTTAAGTTCCAGCCTACTGCACTATGTTTTCATTATGGATCATTTTACCCAGTTTATTTGGTCAGATATTGCAAAAATATGCCCAAATATGCATGTGTATCCTAACAAGCTCCTGAAAACTGAAGGTTTCTCACCTCAAGTCATTATAAGCTGGAGCTAAGTATTATAAAGCGAGTTCAACATACCCAGGTTGTCTTTGTGTTATCTGGATAACCCTTATCTGAACATATTTAGTCAGGAACACATCAAGCTTTTATCAACTCACTAAGTTAACCTAGATTTTAACCTGCACATTCACATTAAATTGGGTGGCATCTGTGTCATTATCAACAGAAAACAGATGTTAGTAACAGAGCAGTTGATTGTTCAAAAGATGAATCTATAATATTAGAAAACCATGAATTGGTTGAACACATAATACAGACTGAGAGAAACACAGCTGCTGCAGACAAAGCAGCGGTGGTGAAGGAAAAGCACTGCACAGTAGATAAATACTGAAAGCACTGAGTGAATGCATGGACACTCAGTGCTTTGTAAGACAGGAAAAGAGAGGGTAATAAAGTTTAGCCTATTTAAAGCCAGGAGAGAAAGACAGCAAAAATGCCCACTGTTTATCAGAATCTCATGGATTATAATGAGTAAATGACTAAATTAATGTTTAGAAAGCAATGTTAGTTCTCATTCTTTCAGCTGCAGCTTCGCTGTTGGTTGATGATCTGAGAGCAAGTGAAGAGTAAATGCAACAAACAGAATTCAAAGACAGGCTTAGTCTATGTGCAAATTAAATACAAACCAGCCAACAGTGGAAGGGAAAAAATGAGGGGAAAAAAAATGTTTATCTAAAAATATCTCTCTCTTATTGATCATCTGGGAAGTGTGAAGACACTAGACTCTCCTACTATCCACACAGGAAGTCACAGGAATCTTCCAGAAATGGTGTCATCATTTCCCCGAGAACTGACAGGTCAGTAGACGCTGATTTCAGACCTAATGATCTCTAATCTAGGGAACAAGTTATCATGGTGAAGCACCCTGGTAAGAAGTGAACCATCTTAATAGCACAGAAAAACCCTGATAACCAAACAAGATGAAATCCCACTCCATCATCAGGCCTCTGCAGTGTTGGGAAAAGTGAACTAACACCTTTTTTTGTGTGTTAACTAGTAAAACTACAAATGCTTCCTTCACCAAAAGGAAAGTTGTTGTTCAATGTCATTCTTTTTATTTCCCAACCGGTTCCCAGGTTGAGCACTCTGCAGACAAAGTTAGAGCAGGAAGGCTGAGACGGTTTGGACATCTGTAGGGGAAGTAGTGGATATACTGGACAAAGGATGTTGAAGATGGGAGGGAAAAAAGGAAGACCTTAAAGAGAAAGGTGAGATGCAACCTTTCTGCATATGCGGGTGATTCCTGCCATTTATTAGCTCGAAAAAGGTGAGGAGGGATTCTTTAGCAGTTACCTGGCCGTCCTGCGTGGTAGTGAACCTGCAAATTCCTGTATCGATACCATACCAAGTAAACACAGGGCCAGTATTACTGATACCAAAACCAATAGTGATACTTTTAACTTATAAAGGCAGCTTATGTGGGGGAGATCAGCGTTTCATGACTTATCAGATGAATCATCACCAATCTGCAAAATCTGAACACATTTTAATAGGGTTAACATATCGATCCTATTGTGCTAGTATCAATCCGATACCAATACCAGTGATGGTATCAGTACTATGGATAATTGAGTCGTTAGTGGCTCACAGCCTAGCTCCACTGCTTGGCATCTGACCAGACAGGTGACGCATTCCCTATATTTTATTTATTGTTGTTGGCTTTTGAGTTTACGCTTTTAATATAAACTTAACTGAGTGGCACTTTTGCTGGGTTGACTTAATTTCTTATGACACTGTGCAATAATTTCATTACATGTCCACTGTCAAGTGGGTCATTGGTTAACTACAGCAATTTTAAAACCTAGCAAACTATATTTCTGCCTTTGGTAATAGGGAATAGGAATCGAGAACCAGTTCTTGTGTGGAATCGGTTCCCAGTAGTCCAATTCCTTGTTGTTAGTCAGCCTGCCTATCATCCTGCTTCTGTTTCAGTTGCACTTGTGGTCTCGTGTTAAAACAGTGGCAGTCTGCAGCGTGGATATGGATGTTACTCTTATTTCACAAAAGGACGAGCACGGGATGATAAAGTGGAAACTACATCCAGCTCAGAAACCACTGCATTATGCTGCTAACACTACTTTGACTCTTCACACACACAGCATGCTAAAACCAAGCTAGCCAAGAACTCAGAGCGAAAGCTGAGTGAATGAGGGGCCCCAGCCCAGCAGCCAGACCCTGAACTTTAACAGGTAACAAACATAAGCAGTTGGGTTGCAGCCTCCATTTCTACCCCTTAATGTTTCTAAAGTAGAATCACTTTTAAGTGTTTTCGTGCTGGTTTTCATCTTTACTTTGTGTTCACAACTAAATACTAAGAGAAAGATCATTTGTGTCACCCTCGTTAGGATAGGGATTTGTGCTGTGTGTAAGACTAACCTCAGGTTTATATTGTTAAATGGTAGTTTTGAGACAATACGTTTCAGCTATTTTATAGAGTAACATGAAAGTAGTGCAATGAGCAGTGTAACAAATTACTTAATTACTCCAAAGAGAAAGTAACACACACTGATCACAAAAAAAGAGGGAAAATACCTCCAACATACACAAACATTTGACCACACAACATGCAATTAATTTGCATGAATGTAATGTCTTCGGGAGTTTTTCCTTCCCACTGTCGCCAAAGTGCTTGCTCATAGAGGTCATATAATTGTTGGATTTTTGTGTGTAGGTATTATTGTAGGGTCTACCTTACAATATCAAGTGCCTTGAGGCGACTGTTATTGTGATTTGGCGCTGTATAAAGAGAACTGGATTGAATGTGATATACTGCTTAGTCATGGTGGTGATAAGGAATCAAATCAATCACCTATTGATCAATATTGGAATCACTAAACTCATCAATTTCCATCTTTATTTGGGTAATTTTGATTCAGTCCAGCTTCTTTTCTTTTCTCTTTTTAAGTTATTCAAACTGAAGCAACCCATATTAATGAAAAGCACATCAGGTGTGTATGCATTCATGGTGTACTCTCACGCCGCTCAGCTACATTGGTGCATTTTCCTCTCACAGCCACTCACAGAGCTGGAGTCAGATAAGGTACCAGTATTTGGAGAAATAACCCGATGATGTTTGAAGATTTCTTTCACATCTCCGGGGTCACGTGGTGACCCGCAGGTCAAATAAAACGCGCCTCGGTCTCGGGAGGAGCAGCAGCCTGCGGTGGCTTAATTAGTGTCCCAGCCGTGCGCCGCCTCGTGCCACCACCTCACCTGACCGTTAATTAACTCTGAGCGGCTAGGTGCTGCTAAACTAGCCAAGCTGTCCCCATCTCCAAACACCGGGTCGTGAATGTTAATAACCGTGTTTTAAGTCGTCTCCGCGGAGCAGAGCTGCACTGGGAGCTTCACTCACAGGGGGAAAAAAAATAAAAGCTTTAAATAAGACGTCTTTCAAAAGTTTGTTAAAAAATGGCGTTAAAAGTTTGTCCGCGTGCATCAATTGAAAAGGCTAAAACAAGCCAATAAAACAATTAAAGGGCAGCCTGAGTATCCTTACCCAAGTCTTCACCTGCGTCACCGTCTTCGTCCATGAACGCCACCGTCAAAACCAATAAACTTGTGCTAATAATCAATTAAGTCGCGCAGACAACGAAGCGAATGTCTTCATGACCGCAGGTTAATGGGCTTGATTGATTGATTACCTCTCTCTGCTGTGTGACGGAGAATTATCACGTGAAGGGTGAAACAGAAGCAGCCAATCACAGAACAGAACAGATGCACCATAACTCTGCTTTTACAAAGAAAAAAGGTGTCTCAAAACCAGGTAATAACTTCCTGTTCAAACAAGAAGCCTGAGTTTTATCCTTATCTAGTCTCGCTCATCGCAAACAGCTAAAAAAAAAATGCTTAAATAAAAATGGCCTCTGAGGGCTCAGGTCTGAGAAGGTTAAGATATTGCCACCTATCAATTTTATCCCATTTATTCATTTCTTTCTGGGACAAGTTTTATGTTTATACTTTTTTATTTTACAGTACAGGGAATTTACTTGTGAATCATTCAAGCATAAAAAAGGCATCTAACTCAAGGCATGTGCCATTGAACTTAGTGAATAACCAATTTAGGCACTTTGTTACAGCAGCCTGTCGCTAAAACAAATCGTTTGGTCCCATTTCTTTATTTTAATATATGAAAAATGTCAAAGATAACACAGTTTGACAGGTAAAACATTCTGTTTCTGCATCATCAAGATGATCCCGAAGAGCTGCTCATGGAAAACCTGGCATATGTCAGCATCGGGTGCAGCGTATACTTAAAGAAATTTAAGAAAACTGGAAAAGTGGAGGACAAAAGAAGAAGTGACATATCTAAAGCAACTATACAAAAAATGAACAGTATCTGAAAGTCAAGTTCTCAAGAAATCAGAAATCAGGACCTTCTTGCTGGCGCAACAGCGCTAACCAGCTCCGTTGTGCTACTCTAACGATGAATGTTGAATCAGGCGAGTGGTGTAGGAGCTCTTTTCAAAAATAATGTAATTATGAACACAGAAAAGTGCTGTCAGAATTTGATCCACCGTGCAATACCATCTGAAAAGCATCTGAACGGCAGCAGCTTCATTTTTCAGCGTGACAATGATGCCAAACACACTGTCAATGCTGTAAAACCAAACCTAGATAGAAAAACACACAATGCAACACTATCAGGAATTCAGGTTGTGTTGAAGAATGATAGCAGTCTGAGCAAATACCGACTTTCAAGCTCATTAGTATTGTACAAACTCTGTTTTCCCCTTATATACTGTATTGCATCTAAATAAATCACTGCACCTTAAGCAGCTTGAGGTTACTGCACAGCTAACAGCTGTACAATGTTTTTCCCATTTTCTTTTTTATGAACCTAATTCCTCAGATCACAAACTATGCCTTTATTGTTGGTTTCTAACTTGCTCCTATGTGTTTAAATGACTTTTTTATATTTAAAACAAAACTGTTTGTTAGAAAAAAAGAATGAGAACATTTAAAATGACCCTCAATATGAAATAGGTAATTATTATTATTATATGTATAGTATGTTGATAAAAGTGGATTCTGGGATTACTTGAAGCATTTTTGCTGTAGTAGGTGAGATGGGACGTCTAAAACAAAATCATTCTGTGAATCATGTAGCTTATTTAAACTAGATCATAAAGACAAAATGAATGTTTTAATATAATCACCAAGGCGCTGTAGTTTAGATGCAGATTTGTTACACCTCTTAACATACTAAACTCTAAATGCAGGAAAACTAAAGCCGTGGCTCTGCGGGGGAACTACATGTAGTTTTTAGTTTGAGATCCCGTGAAATAAAGACACGTTTCGCTGCTACACATTGTCGGCATTTGCAAATGTATCTGAAAGATGTTTTATTTTCTTTCAGCTTAAATTAATAATCATGTAATCCGTGAAATCTACGCTGGGACTCCTCATGGTTAACCCAACCCTACAGACTGTCAGCTGAGGATAAACAGCGCTGATCCCTTGAGCTTCTTATTCCACAAAGGTCTAAAAAAAATAAGCCGTTGTAAAATCAGACACAAACGCACCACAGCCTGCTATCTGTATTTTTGTAGTGTGCAAAATTACAGCTGAAAATAACCAGGTTAAAACTGGGTAGTAAATCAGGTTGTCTCTGCCACGGTTGTTCCTCTGTTACCCAGCAGATGGGGTACTGGTTGGACCTCAGGCCTGCTTCATTCTACCCCAACTCTACTGTGCAGCTTTGGCTCGGCTGTTCCACCCCTCCCACAGGAGGCTCACACACAAGGAGCACTCAGCCTCTGTGCAGAGGCATATTTCCTCATCAGCAGCCCGCTCTCCAAGGCCAGGACAGCTTGTTAGCTTTGCTGGATGATGGCCAGCTGCAAACCCACTACTCGGGTGACCTTGGTCTCATCTGGTCTCATGCTTGAAGAGCAGGAATAATCTCCTTTCCTGTGTGTCTGTGTTTGTACTCACAAATCCCCACAGACAGTTTATCTAACTTTCAGTGAGGAGGGAAGAGGGAAAAAAAGATATTTTTATGTGTTGACTTAAGAAAAATAACATTTCTGTCTGTTTCTCCCTCGAGGGCCACAGAGTTAAACAAGTGTAAATGAGGTGCTAAGAAGCTGTGATCACGCAAATACAAATACAGCATCTCTCTTAGATGAAGCA